CGGCTGGGGGGGCCGGGTCCGACGGGCTTGCAGTATCGGGGGTTTGGACGGGCCCCCAACTGCACTGGCACATTAATTGCCTAGAGTTGCTGGCAGTATGCCTGGCCTTGAGACGTCTCAAGAGGCGCTTACAAGGCAAGCGTGTGCTTATCCGCACGGAAAACACTGCGACCATTGCGTACATCAACCGACAAGGTGGTCTACACTCCCGTCGCATGTCGCAACTCGCCCACCCCCTCCTCCTCTGGAGTCAGAAGCATCTGAGGTCGCTTTGTGCCATTCACATTCCTGGTCTGCACAACCGGGCAGCCGACAAGCTGTCACGAGCTGCGTTCCCGGGAGAATGGAGACTCCAAATCAGCTGGACCATCTGGGGATGGAGTCATTTCGGAGCCACTCAGGTAGACCTGTTTGCCTCTCCAGAACCCTCTCACTGCCAGTTGTTCTACTCCCTGACCGAGGGAACACTCGGCACGTACGCACTGGCACACAGCTGGCCGCGGGGCCTTTGCAAGTATGCATTTCCCCCAGTGAGCCTTCTAATAATGAGAATTAGCCTTGAAGAGATCTTTTTCTTTTTGGGTTTAGTAAATGCATGTATTTTTTTTTTTCCTGCAGAAATTCAATACAAAAATTTAATGACCCATCTCAGCTTAGCTTTATAGAATGAATGGTTTATGAGGGGGGCGGAAGACAGAGACAGAATTGCTGCAGTAAAGGCTTTATTTGCAACAGGACATTAGAAAAAAACTAAAAAGAAAAAAGTACATATATATAAAAAATATATATGTACAATATAGCTGTCATTTATTATGTGAAAATACAAAATATACAAACCGAAAAAGCCACAGAAGAATAAAAAATAAATAAATGTAATCTAATCTGCCTGGTCTTCTGCATTTGGCCACATGTTCTCACCCACATCACACCTGATATCTTCTCTGGCAAGGCATCTTGGGAAGAATCTTTTGGTATGCCTTATCCTTCCTGGTATTGTTCAAAATGGATAGAATACAAAAAGATTAGAAAAGCTAGTTAGTTTTTTTAAAGAAAACAAGCAGTAAATGAATAGAGTGCAAGTCTAAAAGGGACAAGTTTTTTTTTTTAAGAATAGTACTATTCCAGAATTTAAGAATAATACTTTTCCACACAAGATCAGCCCAAAGAGGTCCTCTTTTACTGTATATCATATGTGAGAGAAATAGGCCTTTTGTGTACATAGAAAAAGTCTTAGATCTTTGAGTTCAGCTCATGACAAATGGGGGCAAAAACAAAAGTGTTGCGTTTATAATTTTGTTCAGTGTATTTAAAGTAGGCTACTTTTGTAAACCTGCAAGCCAACAAACCAATCTAAATGTATTGCGATCCTTCAATAGTTCTCCCCCATAGTCAGCTGTTAATTACTATAAACAGACTATAATAAGAATTAAAAGTAAAGCCAGTGCAATTTTAGGATGTTGGATTAAATTAGGATGTTGCAGTGATTGCAAACAAGTGGCTTGATATCACTTGCACTGTTTTAAAAAATGGCCTTGTAAATAAAAACAATGAGTACATTTTGAAGTAAAATACTGAAATAGTATTTTCTTGTACAATGTCACATATTTAACCCCCTGGGGTCGAAGCCCGCACTGGTGCGGTCTGTCTTGTATTTTCTTGATGACTGCGAAAATAACTAAAAATACTCCATAATTTTTGATCTACAGATAAGAATAAGGTATTGTTTGAAACTGCAAAGGGTCTACTTTTATTTGTGTATAGTCATAATAAGAACAAAAAGATGTGCTTTTCTAAAATAAAGAAAATAAACAGGGTGTGTTCTCCGTTGTCTCGCTCTGTCACCTCTCTTCACAGACACGTAAATAAAACAACATGAATCTCAGCGAATACTTGCCTCAAAGACACGAGAAATATATGCATAGAAAGCTTGAAATATCACTTGAGAATATCACTCTGATGAGTAGCCTAACATCTGTTGTTATTGTGTTATTGTGACTAACTTGTACACATTTTACTAGTTAGACTTTTCCCAAACTATAATTCCTGACTACATGTATGAAATCAAGTGAAGCATTTTGAAATATGTCATTTCATTGTCTAAATGTCTCACAATGCCAGGATGTTTGCTTAATGTTTTATAACATATAAAACCACAAGATATAAAAGTAAAACGAGTGTGATTTCATTCATGTAGTCAGGAATTATAGTTATTTCAAAATGTTTCCCTTGATTTCATTCATGTAGTCAGGAATTATAGTTTGGGAAAAGTCTAACTAGTAAAATGTGTACAAGTTATGTCAAAATAACACAATAACAACAGATGCAAGTAATCTTAGGCTACTCATCAGAGTGATTATCCTCCACTGGATCCAGCTGCGCGACGCATCCCATTGTGTTCTTCTTCTTTTGAGGTAAATTCTTGGTTATTCCTCTCATGCCT